GTGCAAGCGGGATTTAGAAAGTGAATGGTATGTACAGATCAAGTCTTTTCCTTGCGCATGATCGCGGAGAAGTTTTTGGCCAAAAACCAAAAAGTATTTTGTGCGTTCATGGACTTGGAAAAGGCCTATGATAGAGTGGATAGGGATGTGCTATGGCAAACACTGAACTCATTTGGGTTGAGCGCTGGCTTGATACAGGCATTGAAGGCTCTTTATAGGGACTCTCGTGCTTGTGTTAGGATCAACGGGGTCTACTCGGACTGGTTTGACATCTATAAAGGTGTCCGACAGGGCTGTGTGGCTTCCCCGTGGCTGTTCAACCTATTTATGGACAGTTGTTTGCAAAATTTGAAAGTTGAAGAACGCGGATTAAAAATGGGCGGGTTAACCGTCAAATTCCTTTTGTACGCCGATGATCAAGTTATTCTTGCGTCGTCGGAGGCCGAGTTGCAAATGATGGTTACATTAATGAACAGATCATTTAAAGAAAGGGGTATGAAAGTGAACGCAAGTAAGACGAAGGTTATGGTTTTTGAAAGAGAAGAAAGTAAAACGATTTGTGAAATAAGAATAGAAGGGGAGTTGATCGAGCAAGTAGATGAGTTTGTATATTTGGGTTGCGTATTTAGCGGGGATTGGAGATATGATAAGGATATACATAGTATATAGTAGAACGACGAGTGAATGCGGGAAATAGAGTAAATGGGGCTCTGCACTCTATTGTGAAGAGTCAAATTGTGTCGAAAAAGGCACGTATGGCAATTCACAATGCTGTGTTGGTCCCTACTATAACGTATGGTAGTGAAAGTTGGGTGTGGCAGAAGAAGCACGAGAGTAAAATGAACGCAGTAGAAATGCGGTCGTTAAGAAGTATGTTAGGGCTGAATCTGAATGACAGGGTGAGAAATTGTGTGATAAGAGAAGAGTGTGGTTTGCAAGATGATGTTGTGACCAGGATTAAGATAGGAATGGTTCGGTGGTTTGGTCATGTGGAAAGAATGAATGAGGAAAGAGTGACCAAGGAAATTGATGTTGCAGAAGTGAATGGCAGAGTCGGAAAGGGACGTCCTAGGCGAAAATTTATCGACCAAATTGGCGATTTATTGAAAACGGACCAAATTAGGAGTACCCTTAACCGACGAGCATGTATGCGTAGGTATATGGATGTGAAGGAGGCGAGAGAGGTGTGTCAGGATCGTGCCAAATGGAAGTCTGTAGTCTCTGCCTACCCCTCTGGGTGACAGGCGTGAGTGTTTATGTATGTTTATAAAATTATTCCTTAACATAAAGGCTTCATCGCCTACGAAAACATAAGGCAAAGTCGTACCATTTACTGTAGTAGGATTTGGTAATTTTAAGGAATTATTTAAGAGGTTTTTGTATAAGTCCGTTTCATTTATAACACCACCATCCGAGACTCTGCCGTTTGTATTAACTATGAAAATGTTTACAATTATAAAAATAGGATCCAGCTCCTGAAGGAGGTGTTATCCTTATATGTGTCCCGTCTATAGCGCCCAAACAGTTAGGAAAATTCCATCTATTTTCAAAGTTTTTCCCAATTTCGATCCATTCGTTCTCGCTTGTTGGCCGTCCTCCAAGGCACCTCCATCTTCTCTGGCTCCATTTCTAGATAAGAGCGGCCTTCTGAGAATTAGCGGAAGAATCGATGCTTCCACTTATACTTATGATAAGAAACATCCCATCTTTTTAAATGCAATTTATTTAATCTTTTTAATTGCCCTTTGTGGGGCTCTGTCGACATATTCGACACCATACTTTTTATTGATTTATTTTCAAACTGCTAGGAGTTTGGTACTGCGATAGTCTGTATTCGATTCTGACAGGTCACAGCAAAAACGAAACGCAAAAAGAAAAAAAAGTATGGCCGACATTGACAGCTGATGACATCTTATGTCATTATTTGGCTGTTTTCTGAAGTGCAAATTTCATCCAAGAACAACTTCGCGAAAATGAGTAAAAAGGTAAGTTTTCTTTTATGATTTGTTCTAAATATTATAAATATTGCAGCTAACTCAGTATTTCAGAAATTATTACGTTTTTACATACATATTCAACGAAAAACTATGACGTCGATATATCGTCGCCTTGGAGGGCAATGGAGCTAACCCACAATTTTTGCGAAATGGAGTTAAGTGCATTAACGTACTGAGAAAGAACCATAGTTTATATTAGTCAATACATGTAACTGATATCATAACTGTAAGCAGGTTTTTTTTAAATTGCCAATAAATTTAAGTGTAGTTTCAATAAGAGTCAAAAATTCTATGCCGCTTAGATTTATTGTGATGACAAGGTTACAAGTCATAGTTAAAGTAATAATTCAGTGGTCAATAGTTGTAAGAGCTCATAGAACTCTTGACCACCAAAATTATGTCTTCATAATATCTATGTATGTTATGTCATTTTTTATCCAATCCCGATTTTATTTGGGAACATTTTAATTGGCAGAGAAAAATCATGTTTATTCCTGTTAACCAATCCACATTCTGTATTTCTACGAGTTTGTGCGTGCATTGTTTAGTTTGCTTTGATAGTGAGTCGGTGATTTGTGCAAAATAACAATAATGATCTATTATATTAATAATATAAACTACTTAAATAATTGAGAGTTCATTATGATTTCTAGCAATTGATGTGCATATAATATAAATATATATATTATTTTATCAGTATTCAGTGTGTGGTTAATATTATTATCATGAATTTATCGCGAGGACAGAAGATGGTTGCGGCGGTTTTTGATCTATACAAACAAAACAATCAAGGTATGTACATACTTATGTTTTTATTAATAGACATCTAATTATTTTAAAATACTACTAGGTGACATTCAAACATAACACAACTTTCATAATTCGTTTTCGATCAATCAATCTAAAAGACATTCCAAACGATTTATGCGGGGCGGGGTGTCGGGCGCGACTCACGTGTTTCTTACTTATCTGCTTTTTTTTGTATTAAATGTAACTTTCTAGATGATTATAATATGGAACCATTCTAGAAGATTTTAAATATCAGAGTAGAGGTTTTTTTTTTGATTAAATTGAAGGATTAAACCCAATTTTGTCAGGTGTATAGTGTACAAACTTGTACTATCAACAAAAAGGTACTGGGGTGTTATTTAGCGCGGTCTCGTGGTAGATATTGGAGCAACTTAGTGCTACCTGCATTTAATTTTAATTTTATTGTTTTAGTTCTTGAAGAAAATGAAGAAAATTCGTATCATGTACTTCAATCTGTGCCTCCAACAGTTGAGACAACCGATGGTTCTAGTGTTTCACTCACAGAACAAACACGTAAATATACTTACAACTTTATTGTTTTTATTTAGGTAATTTAGCCATAAAGATTCTTTTAATTTAGAATTGTATCAACTGCCCTCGTCTTGCTGCCCTAGGCAAGCGCTCATGACGAGTGAAGCGGTTGGTGACCCTGCGCATTGTGTCCCTTGTACCCTTGATAGTCACTGGCGCTTTAACGTTGAATTCACAAACGAGATATTGTAAAATATTGCTATATTTATATAGATATACATACCCAAATTTGATTTTAATTTTTATTGTTTTAGTATTTGAAGACAATGACGAAAACTCGTATCATGTACTTCAAACTGTGCCTCCAGCAGTTGAGACAACAGATGGTTCTAGTACACTCAGAGAACAAACAGGTTAATATAGTTATGTAATACGATCTAGGGTAATCTAGCCATAAATTTTCTTTCAAATCTAGAATTTTAGTAACTGTATTTATTTGTTGTAGAATTTACAAAGTTTGTAGGAATTTTTGAATCTTGGTGTAGCTCAAACGTGGTAGAGCCATGCTACAGCTATATTATTAGTATAGTTGTAGCACGAATGGGTCGGCTCGACCGGGTAAGGACCACGCTCTCATAGAATACCAGCTTAAAATAGCAGCTTAACACTGCTGTGTTTCGTGTGGTGAGTGGAGAGAACCGGAGACCCTTTTTACTGGAAACGAGGCATCTTAGTCCTAACGGGTGATAACGCATCTGCATTTTGATTCGCAAACGAGGATAGATGATGTCTATGGGCCACAGCAATCACTTACCATCAGGTGGACTGTGTGCTCGTTTGTCACCCTATCCTATATAAAAAAGCTTGCCAGACTTATTTTCAGGTAAAAATAATAATGCTCTTTCTGGACATGGTTATAATTTTTCTTGTTTATACTTTCAGGTTCTATAGTTGATCGCAATCCTTACTTTACCTCTGATTCTGAAAACGATACAATGTACCACCCTGTAACGAGAGTTTCGGAGACCTCTACCTCTGAAAATATATCTAACAGTTCTGAAGAAGACAATGAAGTCCTATGGAGTAAATACATTCGAAAACACGTCACCTCTACAAGTAAAAAAGTAGACTCCGACACTTTGACAAGAAAACGTCAAAGAAATCCACTTAAGTGGAAACGTAATACTCAAAAAACTTTAAGGCTAGCTGGAAAGGAATATACAACAAGATCAGGAAATAAAATAGGTATTAAAAAAGTTAAAGATATATCGTGTAAGTGCCATTACAATTGTAACTTTAAATTTTCATTACAAGAAAGAGAAAATCTTCTACAAGAATATTTATCTTTGAAATCTGAACATGCAAGATGGTGTTTCATAGGTAAGTGTGTGCAACGTGTACCTGTCAAACGAACCTACAAAGAAAATCAAAGTAGACGTAAAAACACGTTGGTATATAGCCTGTTTAGAGATAGCCAAAGTTTCCAAGTATGCAAGTCATTTTTTTTGACTACTTTTAATATATCTGCGAAGAAAGTTGAGACAGCTTTAAGTAAATTGACACCATCTGGAGTTACTGAACCAGATATGAGAGGGAAGAAAGAACCACCCAACAAGAAATCAGATGTAGTTAAAGATATAATTAGAGACCACATTAAGTCTTTACCTACTGTGTCTTCACATTATTGTCGTAGTACGACGAAGAGAAAATATTTGCCTTCAGGTTTAAGCGAAAACCGTTTGTACTTAGACTATGTAGAGTATTGTAAAGAACGTCAAGTTGTACCTGAAAAGGCCAGTTTTTACAAATTTATTTTTACCAACGAATTTAATTATGGTTTCCATCGCCCTAAGAAGGATCAATGTGACCATTGTATTCAATTTAAGAATAGGCCAGAGCATGAGCAGCAACTTCATAAAGAAGAGTATGATTTGCATATTATTCGTAAAAACGAAGCAAGAAAGCATAAAGTTCTTGACAAAAATCGTACCAAAGTAGATCCTGGCTTTATTGCCTTTGCTATGGACCTGGAAAAACTACTATTAGCTCCAAACTTACAGGCTGGTCAGGTGTATTATAAAAGAAAGTTAAAGATTTACAATTTTACATTGTATAATTTAGGAGATTCTGAGGCTACAAATTATATGTGGCATGAAGGAGTAGGTACTAAAGGTGCATCGGAGATAGCCACTTGCATTTGGATGCATTTATCGTCATTGGCTCCTGAGATAAAAGAAATAACTTTATTTTCTGATACTGCTTCTGGCCAGAATCGGAACACTATTATTGCCGCAATGTTTTTACATGCAGTAACAGTTTTGCCAATCCAAACCATTAATCAAAAGTTTATGGAGTCTGGACATTCAGAGATGGAATGCGATAGTGTACACTCTGCAGTTGAAAACAGAGGGAGGCATGTAGATATCTATACACCAGAAGGCTGGTACACTGTCGCACGTACGGCTAAAACAACAAAGCCATATTACAAGATCAAAGAGTTGACATATTCAGATTTTATTGACTTTAAGTCGTACAGTAACAAAGTTATCACAAATAAAAATAAAACAGATACTGGTGACAATATGAACTGGCTGTTATTAAAATGGATACAATATCGAAAAGAAAGTCCTAAAATTATATTTTTCAAGAACCAATTATCAGAAGAAAATTTTAAATCTTTACCTATACAGCGCAAAGCTCTACGCAAATCTACTATGACACCATGTTGCGATTTACAGAAGCTCTATAACAAAAAGCTTAAGATCTCTGCCAATAAACTTAAAGATCTGAAGGATCTCTGCGCAAAAGGTACCATACCTTCGGTGTATCATGATTTTTATAACGATCTGGAAGAAGGACTAATTAGTGACAACTCAGAAAGTGAATAATTTATTTTAACTTCCTCATTTTTCTACATTACTTTTTAATTGTTAATTTGATTTATTTTCCTTTAATAAAAGTAAATGAACAATTAATTATTATGTATTTATTTTTAAACACTCCACTCCGCTTGCGCGTTTTTATCTATTTAGATTGATATGTCATCGGAATAAAAAGTCAATAAGGCAAGAGAGTTAAGTGACATACACCTCGTAATATGAGTATTACATTGTAAATAAAATGGTAGTCAATAGGTCTAAGCCACATAACTTTTAAACCATGATGTTTTGATATTTTTTAATTATAGCATTCAATGGTAACACGTTTTAATAATCTAAGGTAAAAATTTGAACTCTCTACTAAAATATGACGCTGATTTATGTTAAAATAACTGTTCTTACTCGCATCATTTAGTTTTTAAACGTCCATAACTCAGAAGTGTAGTTCTGTGGAATAGCTCCATTACCTTCCAAGGCGACGATATTCGACACTGCCCGTTCAGGGCTGGGCTAGGATTTATATTGTAATTGTATAGAATTCTTACCATTGAATATTAGGTAGTATAATTTAATACACTCGGCGTCAAAAAAATCGCACATCCGAAAAAAATAATTTAAATACTATTTTAACACAACAGGCCAATGGCAATGTTGTGGTTTGAGGGTATCATTCGAAAGGTAATTTCATTAGCTTTCAGGAATTTTAATTGAATTTTACTTTTATAAAGAGACGAAAGAGAAATTAAAGAAAAAGGCAGGGTATGTACAAATTTGCAAATTAATAATTTAAAAAAAAAAACTTAATAAATACAAAAAAAGTTCTTAAAACCTCGTGTTACCCCCCCCCCTTGCCTTGATAACGGCTTCCATGCGATCTTTCATGGACCTTACAAGGGTCGCAACAGCCTCTTGGGGTATTTGTTCCTTCTCTTCAAGGACCGCATCTTGGAGCTCTTGAAGAGTGGTTGGAGCTGGATCTCGAGCTCGCACGCGCCGTTTTAGGTCATCCCAGAGATGTTCTATTGGGTTAAGGTCTGGACTTCGTGCTGGCCAATGCATAACAGGGATATCGACCTCCTGTAAATAATCCCGTACAATAGCCACGGTGTGGCAACGAGCATTATCATGCATTAACATGAATCCATCACCGACATAACCAGCATACGGGACCACATGTTCCTCCAGGATTTCAGTAATGTACCGACCAGCATTTAATGACCCTTGCCCACGGCCACCCCGAGTCCGGGAAACGCACACAAGTTCCGTTTTCCCGTCGACCGAAATGCCGTCCCAAAACATAGACGAGCCACACCCGTATTCGACGGATTCTTCGAAGCAGGGTTGTGTAAACCTCTCCCCTGTCTTCTGTAGACCCTTCTACGTCTGTCATTGCAGAAGAGACAGACCCTCGTCTCATCAGAGAAGAGTACGGTCCGCCACTTTTCTAGAGTCCATTGCGAGCAAACTCTAGGCGATCTCTGCGATGCTGTGCAGTAAGTTTTGGACCTTTAGCAGGTCTATGGGCTGTTAAACTCTTTTCGTGTAACCTTCTTCTTATCGTAGAAACACTCACAGATGTTCTCCGAGTTGATCGAAGCTGTTGTTGCAACTCAACAGCATTTGTAAAACGGTTTCGTAAAGATGTCGTAACGATGAAACGGTCATCTCTTTCTGATGTGCACCGTTTTCTTCCAGATCCCGGTTTTCTAACATAACCACCAGTCTGCTGAAAACGTTGGAACACCCGTCGAACTGAAAAACGGGACAGGTTTAACTGTCGAGCAACGTCACACTGCCGCATCCCCGACTGCAATAGGGCAATCACTTGAGCGGCTTCTTCAGAGCTGGTGTCCATCTTTACTTGTTCTTACTTGGGTTACTTGTTCACGTGTGTTCACTGCAAAGTCTAAATTACGACTGACCCATATTTCATCCAGATCGACCCTTTCATACCCTTTTTAGGTGGTGTAACTAGCGTCCTTACTAACGAGCATTTGACAGTGTTTATTTTTGACGCTCTATAATGATAAATTTTTTAATGATTTCATGATTTTTTATTGATAATGTAAAGCTATTTAAATACCCATTTCAAACATACCAATATTTATATAAATATAATTCGTTTCTAGCCATTACAGCCATTTTTCGCGCAAACTCAGAGAGGTGCGATTTTTGTGACGCTGAGTGTATTTCCTTATTATAGGTGATCCCATTAGAGAAGTTGGAAGATGCTCTCGCAGACTTGTTTGCTCTGTCAGACGGCGAAAACTCCGACGACGGCAATGAGAGTAATGAAGTCGAGAATGAAGCAGTTTTCTCATCATTTACCAGTACAGAACTTGAGGATATTTTAGGTGGATCTGGTCTGAATGAATCACAGCCAACAACATCAACAGTTTCGATTGTTCCGTCATCTTCTAATATGGATATATCTGCCACACATGATAGTACTACAGGTAGTACTCAACCTACTCCCTCTAATTCTAGAATGTCTTCAATCACAAGACCTGCTGCACCTGCTGATGACACGGATAACTCGGAAGACAGTTCAGAAGATAACTCGGAAGATGATGGCGATGAAGAGTGGAAAAAAGTGCAGTTTCCACACATTCCGCCTATTGAGAAATTTGATGACATTTTACTGCGACCATCACTTTTTTTCCTAATCGAAGTTCTCCTCGGACATATTTCAATGTTTTTTTTTTCAATGATGAAGTCCTATTGAACATCGTTGATCAGACAAATTTATACGCAGCCCAAAACCGACAGAAAAATTGGGATATTGTAATATTGCAGGAACTAAAAGCTTTTTTTGGTATTTTGATACTTATGGACATTCACGTACTTCCAAATATATCTCTCTACTGGTCTTCCGACCCTATGTTACGTGTTGCAGAGATTGCTAATGTTATGACAGTAAAGAGATTTAAAAAGATTTTGGCAAATTTACACCTAAACGACAACAGTCAAATGCCCAAGAGAGATGAAGAAGGGTATGATAAACTTTACAAAATAAGACCTATGATCAAAATTTTGAATAGTGCTTTCCAAAGTGGTGGAGTGTGCTCATCATCGCAAAGCATAGATGAGTGCATGATTAAATTCAAAGGGAGTAGCACTCTGAAGCAGTATATACCAAAAAAAAAAAAACAATAAAACGGGGCTTCAAAGTGTGGTCGCGCTGTGACAGTCTGACTGGATATTTGTATCAGTTCGAGATTTATACTGGAAAAGAAGATGACGCCACTACAGAGGTTGGGTTAGGAGCCAGTGTGGTAAGAGAACTATCTAAAACTCTGATTGATGAAAAGGTTGAGAATACTCACATCGCCTTTGATAATTTTTTTGCGTCCCAATATTGTTTAAATGTAATAAAATTGGTTATTTTATTACATTTAAATAAGTTAATTTCTAATACTTAATTTGGTTTCAATTTGTTTAAAAATAGCTGTTTTCATGTATGATCGACTCCTGATGTGTTTTTATTAATTCCCAATGATCAGAGACAATTCAATTTAAAAAATGTTCCCATATTACAAATTTTGTTACTTAGTCAAATTTTCTCCTTTTCTACATTAATGGCAATAAGTCACTATTTATGGAAGATACATTTATGAATTATACCATTATAAAATCTACACGAAACCGATATTATTGTAAAATTATTAGTCACCCATACATTCATACATTTTTTTCATACCCAAGAGGTTTGAACTTCGCTTAAATAATATTTTTTGCACGTTTTTCAGAAATAAATTGATTTGCGAATTTTTTAAATAAAAACTGCAAAAGCTATTCATATTGTTTACATTTTACCTATAACCACTGACACGTCCATGGATACTACGCCATCCAAAATAAAAATTGCCTTGTACGTCCTGGATACTAGTGTAGCCAAAGCGTTAAGTTTTATAAAACTGACATCTAGGGACAATCTGCAGTACGTTTTGTGAGTTTTATTTATGGAATCAATAGCTGACGAATTACTTTACGTATCAAATACGAGATGGCAGTATAACAAGTCTTGACGAATGAACCATAAATATCTTACTTCAGTATCGGTGTTCTGTGTTTTGTGAACAAGTGTTTTTGGAGTGCCAGCGATTATGTCGTAAGTACTTTAGTTTAATTTAATATTTCGTAGATTATTATACGTCAAAATAAACTAGATGATTTGTGCTTTATAATTACGTATATATATCACAGTTCTAAGTGTAAAATCGAGTCATATTTTAAATTCAAAGTATAGCTGTTTCGAAAAAATGGCCGCTCAAGTTGTCGGCCCAATTTTAGTTTTGTTAACTTAGTTTTTCAGTAAAATTATATTTAAGCAACGAGTAATAGTTGTAATAAACATAATAATGCACTTTGCAAACAGAATTAAACTATATTCACTGAAGATTCCTTAGAAATGTTATTGTGTTCCTCAGGTCTTTTGTTGTGGATAGTTTGATATCCACGGACGTAACTACAATGGCTCTAAATAAGGGTCGGTACAAATAGCAAAGTATGCTTGCAATATGTTTCGCTTTCTTATTTTTTGTGGTCGAGGTCTTGGTTGGTTTGGGTCTTGAGTTTTTTTTTTCGCTTAGTTGGTTGTGTAATTGTGTTTCATCATGCTCTTATCTCATAGTTTTTGTTCTTGTGTTATATTAATGTTATGTTTGTTCGTGATTGTCGACTTTTGCTCTCTTTTCTATTTAACTTCACTTTACTTACATGGAGGATGTGTTCTACGATTTCAAATCACTTTACTTTCCTTGTGATGTATTGACAATAATTTAATTCTCATATTTAATCAAAATCATTCATTTTTCGGTATACGGTTTTCGCTTTGCACCACTGCTCAATGTCTGGCGCCAGTCATTGAGCAGTGTCGTATTATTTATTATGTAGATCTCTTCATGTAGAACGCTTTTCAAAAGAAATTACATTGAAGAACCTCATAACTTTCGAGAAAAAAAATCCTAAATAAAAATGGCTTTTGTTATGTAATCATATAATAAAAAAAGGGTCCTTACTGCCATAAAAAATAGCTTCTATTAAAAAGCGACCCCAGAGATTGCACCGTACTTTCCATCATTTACTTAATATTGTGCTATATAGCCTATAACCGTTATAGGGTCCCATCTATCACTGTACCAAAAGTCATCAAAATCAGTTCAGCCGTTTTGACGTGAAAACGGGACATATATACTAACAAACATACAGACTTTCGCATTTATAATACATGTTATTAGGGATTGGATACCTACTCATTTAAAATAACTCTCTTCTAAGTTGACGCGGGTAATTTTTAATGCTTCTTTACCACATTATTATTGTTTTTTTCCCTGATGATATTAATGGTTTAAATTAATACATACAACAATTTTAGATCACCGACCGAAACTAACTTAGCTCGTGGAAGTCGTAGAGGCCGAGGGGTTCGTACTAGAGGTGGGAGGGGACCATCTCAAGTTAGGAGGTATTTTCTATTTTTAGTAATTTTGTTACTAAAAACTACTTTCGTACATTTTGTTTTTCTCATCTTATATTAGATATGTAGTCAAGTTTTAAATAATTATATTATATTATAGATCACCTAGTGAAAATGATCTGCCGTCTAACGACGGGAGCCATAGAGGCCATGGTAGTCGTGGCGACCGTGGCAACCATTATGGTGGAGAACGCCCTAACAGTCGGAGACACCGGGGAGGCCGAAGAGGACGCGGAGGACACGACAATCAGCCCTCCCAAGCAAGGATGTAAGTATATTTTACACAGATTTATTGTTGGACTATTATTTTTGATACTACAGGATATTATTTCTTTGTAGCAGTGAACTAGACTTAATTCGCGCTCAGCGGCAGCTCACCCAGAAGCGTGTTGCAGCGCTGCCAGCAGAAGTAAAAAGGGGAGCTTTTAACTCGCAAGCGTGACTCTGAGGTTGCTAGAGTTATAATGCCTGACGCGCCTCCGCGCAAAAGGCGCGCCCGGTAAATGTATTTACTACATACTTTATCATAATTTAGCAACACGTGTTTACTAAGTTTTCTTTTTCTGGCAGATTGGCGTCGCCGGAGCGCGAACCGTGCGAGTTCATAGAACCAGAATGTGATAGCCAGCGTAAAAAAATTATTATTTTAGGTAAAGAGTCATTTGTTGTTAATAATTTTACTATATTGTTATTGTTTTATATTTGAATTAATATTATTTGTTTTAGAGGATATACAATTGGTGCCCCCCAAACACGCCGAAATCATGGCTAACGTCGAGATACGTAAGTAAATGTTTTACTATACCTAAGCCTGTTCCCAAACTTTATTTTATGACTTAATTAACCTGATGCTTTTTGTTACAGATAACATTCAACAATCGCCGCCCGGGGATGTCGAGATAGGTAAGAAAATATTTTACTACACCTGAACCTTTTCACAATCTTATTCTTTATGACTTGATTAACCTGATGCTGTTTGTTACAGATGAAATTCAACTATCTCCGCCCAGGGACGTGGAGATACGTAAGTAAATATATTGCTAGGCCTATGTATTATTCATTTTATAAGAATCCTAAGCCTCATATTGTTTGTTACAGAAGACCTGAAACCTAGAGATTTGCTGCGTATCGGTACGTCAGACCTCGATACCGTCCCTTATTCTCCCGACTACTTAGACAGTCTGGATCCGGATCGCTTAGATACGGAGATCAATAGAGCCTTAATGGCAAAAACTCCTAAAAAAAGGGGCATACCTTCTGCAAATTCTTCCTCAATAAATCCCTTGATAGATTGAACACACACTCTCGCACATTCATACACTACACACATACACCTAAAAAATTATTATTGAAACTTTTTATTTTTAATGTTTTCCCTTTTTTGAAGTCTTTCTGCTTCTTCGTCAAAGGCCAATTCTGGTCACATTCATAGAGATAAATTCTAGTGAAAGTTAAGGTCAATTTGAAGTTGAAGTAAACAATTTATTTAAGCATAATTCTATTTCAGGAAACAATATGGTAGCCGAGGCTGATGACGAAGTAACTGTGACGCCTTCCACTAGCAAACAGCGTACTTCGATTGGTACGCATTATTCAATCTAGAAGTCAAATATAGAAAACCACGAATTGTTAACAGTAAGTTTTTTTTTTCAGGGGTTATTGACAAGAATTTCGACGTTGTAGTTGGCGACTGGATAAAACTGACCGATGACCTAAGTGACTGTGACATGGACACAGAAAACGAGGACTGCTTTCTCCCTGTCATGACCTCACGCAACGCTACGGCGGAGCCTGCAGCTGAAACTGACATGACGTTGTACGAGGTTCGTATACTAGAGACAGAAGACCGACGAAATGACCTAGCAATCAGGGAGATCGCACCACATGACTGTTACAATTTTGAGTGGAAAAGAGATCGACAGACTTTTACAGGACAACGAGAAAATTTTACCGGGAATCCAGGACCGACATTTTCGATTACAGAGGAGACTAGTATCGTCAAAATTTTTTATAAAATGATCGACAGCGACTTTATAGACAGAATTTGCACAGAGACTAACAGATATGCCGACCAAAAAATAAAATTATTGAAAGACCAGAACAAATTCTTACCGACTTTAAGACTACACCGATGGACACCGACGGACAGGGATGAAATGGTCAGTTTTCTAGCCATATCAATTCTTCAAGGGCTATACCCCCTGCAGGAAGAGGAGTCCTATTTTAGTTTCAATGGTTTTGGCACTATGCCTTACTTCCGAAAAATAATGTCGTACAATAGATTTTTATTATTGAAGTCACTGATCCATTTCGTCGACAATGAGACAATTACAGAACCAAAGAAACTGTGCAAAATTCAAATGGTGACTGACTATTTCAACGAAAAGTTCTCGCATTTATATTATCCTTCCCAGGAGGTTGTCATTGACGAATCCCTTCTGAAGTGGCATGGGCGACTAGGCTTCGCTCAGAAGATTTCGTCAAAGGCTGCGCAAGTCGGAGTGAAGACTTATGAGCTTTGTGAGTCTTCCTCTGGTTATCTTTGGAAGTTTTTTATTTATGCGGGAAAAGAAAACACTGGGACTGCGACTGCAACAGCTACATCTAACGAGACTAACCCTATTGACACTGACGAAAGACCTGATGATACAGACACGACTGAACATGTCATAACTGGCAGTAGCGATGTACGTCCCAGCAATGCTACTGCCAAAATAGTTTACGACTTAGTAGAACCTCTACTTCACCGCGGACACACGTTAATAATGGACAATTTTTACAATTGTCCATTATTAGCGCGGTGTCTGAAACGACAAAAGACAGACTGCTTTGGGACCTTACGACTGAATCGGGAATTCGTTCCCGATTCATTGAAGACAATAACAAAAACAGAACTAAGACAAGGTGAAGTATTGGCAAGCTACTGTTCCGATTTGTCGGTAATCGTATGGCGAGATGCTAACCTAGTTAGCATGCTCTCGACATACCATTCCCTCCAAATCGGTACGCGACAAAAATATGACCGACTGACATACAAGCCAAGCGTTGTCCTGGACTACAATAAGTCCATGGGAGGAGTGGACAGGAAAGACCAGTTCTTGTCTGCTCAGCCCATGGAACGTGTACGAAATAAAATTTGTTATAAAAAAGGTATTTCGTCGTCTTTTTAACTGTGCCATTTTTAATTGTTTTGTTTTATTTAAAACGGCTAATCCAAATATATCACACAGACAGTTCAGGACAACTTTGGCGGAAGACTTACTAAAGTTACACCGACATATTGACCTCACGACAGAACCACGACTTATGAATTCGAGAACCGGGCTGATGAAAAGGCCAACGACAACCACGACCAGCAGACCTAAAGTCGAGCATCGACATTTCCCAGTTAAAACTGGCTTTAAGCAAAGTCGCTGTTGGTTGTGCGCCCAGCGAAAAGTCACAGCCAGAACTATTTGGAAGTGCCTAGAATGCAACATAAATCTATGCATTGATGGTTGCTTTATGCAGTACCATACATAATTTATTTTGTTTTATTTATTTATTTTAGTTTTAATTTAGTCCTTTTTTTGTAAATATTTAGTTTGTAATCAATTCCTAGTTTTAAATAAAATATTTAATTAGCAATAAATTTACTTGAAATAGTCAATGATAATTATAGTAAGTAAAGGTTTGTGAAAAAAAATATATTTATTATGTCAATATACTGTACATTGATTTTATTATTTGTGTTTAATTTAAAACCCCAACTAAAAAAAACTCATAACTACCTTTTTTTAAGTTGCGTAAATTACAAAGTGTGAATGAGACCTTAGATAGGCGGCCATCTTGCTTATATTTTGCCTTCGCAAGCGAGTCGAAAGCGCTCAAGACATCACAGTAAAATTACGAGGAGTAGGTGTTTTGTTACAATTTATTTAACTACTTAGCGTTAATTAAACATAAACATCTATGCATTATAAGAAAGGAAAATACGTCTAGTTTGTTGTTGCATTATTTTATTGGTAAAAAAATACAATATTTCTTCGTTGTGGTGTAAATTAATAAAATTTATACGTTTATTTTTCTCCGAATTCAATGTTAACACTCGTTTTTAATATCTTAAATTAAGTTTTTAGATCTTAAAATATACATAGGTTTAATCTGTATTCTTCTATCAATTTTTCGTAGTTTTTTTCTTTACTCTAGCTATTATAGTTAAGAAGCTATGTAGGGTTTTTGTTACAAGATGCGAGCGCGGTAGCACCCGAATCAGGGCCGCGCTTATCCGGACGTACAAGGGTATAACAATCGCGCGGGCTGGACGCTTGAGTGGATAAGCACAGTTAGTGTATAATAATAATATAACAAAAAACCAATAGAAATCATTCATTTTTGGTCATAGTGTTCAAGACAGTAAAATAAGATAGAAAAGAATCGACTTTTCTTTAAAAAAAATATATCAAAGGTACTACTTGTGATATATTATTTTTCGTATTTTTTTCAGGACGGCCATAAGTTGTACTATAAGACATTTCAAGGTTATCCATTCATTACCGGACACCCGATATAAAACGGTCGATATTGTTCCGTCTGTTGGTCTGTTCAGAGGCCTCGACAAGCGACACACAACTTGGCACGAAAACCAGGTCCTGTCAAAGAAAGGTGACGAAGCTGTGAGAAATGTTACAAAGATAAAGCACTAAAATGGGCAGAAAGGACAATGGGCGTCCGGGTACCATTAGCGGCCATTAATAAAACTAGGGTCATTTGAAAGGTAAATGCTTGTAGAACAAATATTGTTCAAGCAGTATGATTAAATATCAATTGAGAAAAAAGATATGGGTTAAATACTATTTTAATGATTTGTCATATTTTTATCATCCAGCATTTTTTGTTTTTCATCACAAAACATACGAAAAACCTTTGCGTTTTGCTTATTTTACAAACGCATGCATTAATAAATAAAGTAATGAAACTATTGGGCTTCCATGTAAATGTAAAATATTTGTCACAATATTCAATACCTTTATCATGCCTTTTATCCGCTAATATGCACTGGGCCGATCGTAAACCATACCAGGATTGCACCGCTTTCAAAGAAAAATGGCGGCAATAATGTGCGGGGCGACCCGACCACTCAACAGCTGCTTTTGTTAACGTACGAGTATTCGTTGAATGAGCCACTTCAAGTTGGTTTTTGTTTTCAATTCTAGGAACCATTGTTAAGACCAACCAATTCTACCTGCTTCGTGTGACCAATCAGCGACATTTGTTTCGTTGAGTACTGTGCGATTATTTTTGTTTGACCATCTCTTTCGACTCTGGCTTGTATCTCGGACTTGTTGATATCTAACTTGGTGACTTGTGCTTGTTTTACTGGACTTTGTGAATTGTATTCCTATAACTATGGCTGATAACCGTCAAATGTGTGTTTTGTGTAATCCATCTGTGATAAACAGAAGAAGATACGAGATAACACACGCTCGGTTTGAAGACAATCCCGCTGTAGCCCAACATATGTATTATTGAAGCTGTTACTCCTGAACGTCAGGTAAGTCAAACTAAATCATTATGTCTTATTTGTCATGTCAGAAACTGGTAGTTTCTCACTTTAAAAAGTATCGTTATGAAGCGTTTTTACTGGTATTATAGTATATACGTATTTAGAAAAAGAATACCGTTTATCTTTATCGGTTTTTTTTTTATTTAGAAAAGTAACTAAGTATTTCATATCGACAGTTTTGTGAAACCATTTAAACTATGCAGTTTAACTAATTGTAATATTCTCATCTTCAGCTAGAATACAACGCCCAGGAGTATATTTGTCGACCATGCTGGCAACGGGCAGAAAGAGCTGCGCAACCTAATGAAAATACGCAACTACATGAATGTGCATTACAAATCGAAGAATATTCAAGACTCCCTAATACAGCGACGCGTTGTATGTTTGAAAACTGCAGACGAACGTTACTCCGAAGAATTCCGGATAATCTGAAAGTAACATTTTTAATTCATTTTAACTTTTATATTCCCAATAGCGCAAGAGTTTGCGTTCAACATTTGGAATCCAACAATTGGGATCAAATAATTGACAGCCATAACTTGCTCCACGATTTCAACGCCACACATTTTTTACATATCATGAGCCTCATGAAAATAGCAGTGCTTCGAGCATCTATATTGGATTTTGATCATATAGATGACATGGACATAAATGAAATATACATTCGATTGGGTGTCAGTCGAGAACAATTTATGAATATTTTGGAACAAACCCCGTCATTGTCGAACGTATCAACTCGGCCGAAGACAA